TCTCTCTCTCTCTCTCTCTCTCTCTCTCTCTCTCTCTTTCTCCCCCCTTCTTTCCTTCCCTCTCCCTCTCAAACTTGCAAGTGACGCACATAAATCACAAACTTGTTCCCAGTCTATCTTGTTGTTTTGCAGATTCAACCTATTTTCAAAGTTGTGAGGCTGTTCATATTACTGATTCATCCATTTGTGAAACTCAAGCACCAGTAAATACCGGTAAAAGGCCTCACCAAGTTTTTTTCTTTCAAAATAAAATAACGTAACTGTAACTTTATAGTTAGTTTTGTGTTTTTTTAACTATCGTAAGCGCCATATTGAATATTGTGTAGCATGAGGGACTGCACCGCTACATACTTTGCCTTCATGTAGTAAAGTAAGGGAAAAAAATGGTCATTTTTTCACTAAGTAAGCAATTAAATAAATTTTCTGAAGCAGTTACAGAAAATATGGCATAAATTTTATTATACAAACCAAAAATGAATAAGATTTTATGTTCCGTTCATTCACAATAGGATTTGAAAAACTGTGCAAAACTTTAAACCCCTGTAGCTCGCAACCCCATTTTCTCAGTTATGATAGCACGTGATTCAGGCAACGATATGTGTGATTGAAGGAGGTGAGGGTCAATTAGAGAGAAAATGGCCGCCAAAGTGGAGTCATTTCTTTAGTTTGAGAGTCCGTGAAAACTGAAAATGTATATTTCTTGTGCCTTAAATCAACGTTTTTCAGTAAAATCCACACAGAAATGTGCTCTTTAATGGGCATGAAAGGTGTTGAACCAAAAAAACAAAATTCGATAAAAATTCCCAAACTTGTGGGAAAATGCCAATTTCTTGACTTTCATTATTTTGACAAGCGCCTGATTTCACCACGCTGCCTCACAATTCATTTCAGCGCGGTGCTTTCTGACTAGCATCCTTGAATTACCTGGCTAAAGAGAACGCATCGCTGACAAGAGCCACACGGTCAGACACAGAGAAAACCTGGAGAAGGAGGGATAAAATGTTGTGAGTTAGCGCCCATGGGGGCGAAAGGGGATACGGAGATGGTT